TTGCAGGTCCTCCAAAGAGCTGGTCTCTGGCCAGAAACAATATTTATTATTTGTATGGATGCTCAGCTTTTCATGGTGATATAAGAATTCTTGGTCAGATCTATTCTTCACACTTTTCCCTCTTATTTCCTTGCTTAGGCAAATTCTGTTTTACTAAAGATCTGACTGACGACTAAGTGCTGCTACAATCCAACTCATTGTATCATCAAATGGCAATCGTGATCCTATTCTAATTGTCGTGAACAATGAGAAAGCAGCAGAATAAAGCACAAATGGTGCCTGTCTTTCAGGACAGCATGCATGAAAGCTCAGGCAGATCTGAACAGAGAGAAAGGTGTGGGAGAAGAATGTGGCAAATATACATGCTGACATCCAAGTCATCTGCAGCTATTAGCCCATACTAATGTTCATAAGCCTTACTGAATTCAGGTAAGGCTTCTTCTATATAAAATACACAAGGTTGATAATCTGATTTTATATAATTTTATATACAAAATGTGTATGATATTTTCTGTATGTAAAAATTTCAGTGTTTTATCTGAGTACAATGTTTCTGTTAAGTGGTTTCTGTAACCTATTACCCTGCATGGTAATCACAGTCAATGTGTAGTACCTCAAAATTGATGAATAAAAATGTTTCAATCACAAAGTAAGACAAAGGCACATTGTTGGATTATTTCTGAACTGTTGATAAAAAAAGAAGATCAAGTGTTTTTCCTTTTTGCTTGATGATGAAAATATTAATGTTACATTTACAGTTCAGAATAGTGTCTGAGGAATAAGTGAAGGACAAGGGTTCTGACCAATGTTTGAATGCTTGGCAAGGTTTGACCTCACTGCTGATAGACCAGTGGCCATCCAAAAACCAAGCACAACAACAAGTGCTGGTAAGGATGTGGAGAAAAAAAGGTACCTTAACATACAGTTGCTGGGATTCCTCAGAAATCTGAAAATAGATGTGCCATGTGATCCAGCCATTCCATTCCTTGGAATTTAACCAAAGGAAAAGAACACAGCACACAAAAGAGCTCTATGCATCTCTGTTTATACCAGGCTATCAATAGCTTAGACACTATCAACTAATGGCTGAATTAAGACACTGTGGTTTATATACACAGCAAGCAAAACTACTGTGCCATACAAGGAAGAAATTCTGTATTTTCCCAAAAAATATAGCTGGAATTGATTATGACTAGTGTAATCATTACTTCCAAAAGACAAACATGTTTCCCTGAATTTATGATAATATACAGAATACCAAGAAAGTAATGTATATTTGCCATTTTGAAATATGACTATCATTTATGGCCTGTGTTTATACACTTAAGGTACAATGGTTTTTCTACTTAATACTTGCTGTATTCTATTTTTAGTCCAGGGCTGAGCTTGTGATAACACAGAAAATTAAAAGTATTCCATTACAAAAATTAAAGGAAAAATAAGGAGGGAGATGTGAGAATGGGAGAAAGGGTAAGGTGAGATCTATCTTGCTCTTAAAACTACATGGAATGCATATTTATTCCATTTATATGAATAAAAACCATTTTGGAAGAGCAAAATATGAATATGAAAAATGAATCAACAGGAATGGACATGTGGCAAACAGATGCCCACTGTTTTTCAGTTATTTCTTTAAAAGCTTTAAAGGCTGGTGGGTAAGTAGTTGAGTATTTGTCTATAGCTACTTAAATAATAGTATGATAAAAATAATTCAACAATGGGAGCTTGGACTATTTTACCAGGGATTTGAGTTTGACTGAAACTTGGGAAATATTGAACTAGAAAACAGTCTAAGTCCTTCCAGCTGGTTGAATCTATGATTCCATGAACTCCCCGTGCTTCTGAAACCACAAACACTTCTGCCTGTGTGATGTTTCACTTCATGTACCAAGGTACTTGTGATAAGAGATGCCCAAAGAACTGGTTAAAAGTTACTTGTGAGATGTTCTCAAAAAAGGTCAAAACCACTGAAATTGGTAGACCGAGTGAAGGCTGCCTGCCATTAGCAATGTGAACAGCTATTACTCAACCCACGGAGGGCCTGATCAGAAGCGGGCACACGTCTTCCATTTCAGACATCAGAGCCTCTGGTTCTCACGATTTTCTATACAAAACAGCAAAAGTGCCCTTCCCTTTTCTTCTCACACACCAGGGTTCCAGGCCTGCAGCCTCAAACCTGAACCACTCCTCCTAAAGATTCCTGGGCCCAGGAGGCTGAACTAGGATGACATCCCTAGGCCTCAGGTTCCCCAGCCTGCAGACAGGGCACTGTGTCATCTCAGCCTCCCTCCACAGGAGGAATTCCTAGACCAAATCTCCACAGCCTCCATCCATACATACTCCTACTCTTTGTCTTTCTACAGAGCCTTGACTAATACAAGCAAAACTGTTCTATGTACTTGGAGACCTTTCGATTTCGACAAATCTCTTTATCAGAGTAAATCCTGTGGAATAGTTTAATTTCCCCTTTGAACGCTTGTCATAAAGTGGCGACTGGAGGGCTCTGGGAAATTTTTCTCTGTGGATACTTTCCCATTGCCACCTGGTCCTTTCAGTCAATGTCAGTTGCAGGAATATCTCTGCAAGGAATAAATATGGGTTAAAAATAAAGTCTTCAGAGTCCCATTCCCTCCCTGCTGAGGAAATATGAACCCTCAAGCGATGCCATTCTGACAACGTGTACTCTCTGATGGCTTCCAGAAGGTACTATGGGGCAGTCTGAACAGGAGATGATCCTATTGTGAAGAAAGCCAAATAAAGACTTCTACCCAGGCTTTGGTTTAATCTACCTACTTCAAGTCCAACCAATAAGAGGCTGGCCATTTGTGCTGTTTCTAATATGAGGATGCTCCACATGGTCAGGGAGCACAGAGTTTAAACATACATCTAATTAAATGCAAAAAAAAAATGTGGTGGAGTGGGGAACTTCATGCATACAGTTAGCCTTCCATAAGCTGGTAAGAACTACAACAAAAAAATGCATGAATTTCAAAATGTTTACATCAAAATAAACATTTTATCCATTATCCACTCACTTTAAAGCTTTTTAAGCATTTTTTTTTTTTTGCAACAAGTTGGAACCGTTTTCCTGATCCAGCTCATTTTCTTCTCTACACCTAACCAGGTGTATCCCATTACTTTTGAAAGGTCTGTGCCTTTCTCCCGCACTACCCCATGCAGCCATTCCACTCCTCTGTTTCCCTACCTGCCCTGGATTTTTGATTCTCTATCCTTTCTCCTACTCTGTATTTTCTTCTCCAATGTCAAGAGTTTGATTTTCCCCTCCTTTGCTCTCTAACAGGGCCAACTGTATAGTTTCTTTGGCATTGCTGGCTCTGCTCTTCATAATCCTGCAACCTGGAGCTGCTATTTCACACCTCTTTCTGCTGAAGCTTGATACACACTAAATTTAGAGTTTCACATTCAAGTTCACCCTGTCTCCTTTCACACTGGCAGTGGGCTGGGCGATGGCTCATGTCACTTCCTAATCTGTCTTGGCATTTTACTGACTCAAGAGGCACGTCAAAAATCAACTTTCAAGCCCTTCTGATTTCCAACTTCACCTCTTTCCTATCGCTGTCCTGCTGTCTCCCATATGACTGTACTTGCACGGGGTAAGACGGGTAACATGCTCTTTAGTGATCTCGTAGGCGACCTTGCTGCTAATCATGGCCCAATTACAACCCCTAATTACAGGAGTGGAATGTGCTGTGCAGAAGTCCTGACCTTCAAGCCAAAGAATCAAACTTCTGTCCACTTATTCTAAATTGAGAGAGAGCGAGCGAAATTCCTGTCCTCCACACTTTATTACTTAGTCTCAAGCTCTAATAGTAGCTACTTGTTTGGAGATTTAATTAGGACAGTGAAGTAAACACACACCTGCTTTCCCAGCAGTCAATCCTAAGAGGCTTAGTCATTCTCTGGCTATGCCAGAAATATCCAAGAATCTACTCATTCATTTCTTTCCCCAACCAGACTCTTGGCCAACGCCCCTCAGGAAAACACCGTCGTTGCTGAGAATTGCTCTGCCAATCTTCATGAGGCAATAATGAGGTTTATTCCAGCTTTATCTGAGCTGAGCTAGTCTCTTCAAGGCAAATTTATTGTATTTCAGTTTTTCGTTTCTAAATGCTAAATAAAGAACTGTAGCTTTGGTTATGTGGGGAAATCTATACTGCAATGTAGCTGATGTAGGAAAGATACAATAAAATCAGATTTCTTTTGTTAAAAGTACATTTGATCTACAAATCTACAAATATTCTTTCAAGTATAAAATATAAACAAACAAGTCACTAACACTTTATATTCCATTCTTTTTGATAATTTTGAGTCCCTAATTTTCAAGAGTAAAGCTGTAACTTAGTTTGTCATCTGAGAAACAAATGGAAAAGCATAAACAGAATTATAAATGTGGTAATACATATTTCTAGGGCAATATTCTACAGTCAAATCCCATCGAATGACAGTCAAAACCCTAGATTGATATGATGCCAGGCACCCCTCACAGTATCTGTTCCTATATTCCCAAAGTAGGATTCCAAAACAAACACTTCAAACTGTTTCCCTTGTAAAACAAGAGCTATTTTCTGTTAAAAAAGAATGCCCCTCTGAATACTGCTGTGACAAACACAGGCGTTTCCAGCTAAAATTATCCTTGCTGCCAATGAACTGTCCTACACAGAAACGCTAAAAGTTAAATGACTGAGCACCGTGACAAACAAGCACCTCCAACTTGACTTGACACCACAGAGTTGCCAGTTAAATCCCAACTTTGCTAAGTGCCTCTATCCTCCAGAAACACCGAAGTGGAAGGGAGTTGAGCAAAGCACAGCTTACAACTCCACACCAAATGCTTTAGTGAGCTCAAACTTCCTAATGAATGCTCACACGCACACACACACAGAGCAAAAACTCAAGAGTGCCTGCAAGCAAACAGGAGACAGCGGGCTCCGAGGGAGAAAAGTGAGGCGTGGAGACCGGAGAACTGAACAGGACCCTACCTCTCTTGTCACAAAGCAGCCGACGAAAACCCGCCTCGGATCCGGGAGGGTGCCGAGTGCCGTGAAGGAGGCGGCCACTGGGGCGGCGGCTGCTGAGGGGGAGCAGGCCCTGCCTGCGTTCAGAAGCTGCCCCAGTCAGATTTTCCAAGTGCAAAGAAGCAGCCAAGTCCCTGCCCATGCCTGAAGAATTTCCTGAACAGCATTCCCGTTCTTTCTCTGCCTGCTTTGAAACTGAACTCTGTCCGTACTTCAATACGACTTTTTCAGGCCGACTCCCAGCTACTGGGCTGTCTCCAGCTGGGAATGAGAAACACATGTGTCACACACAGGCTCGCTCTCCCCTCCCTTCTACCCCCTGCATCGGCGCTCATGGCGTCTGCTGGGCTCACACTTACAAGGGCTACTGCCTCTAGAACCTACTCTCACCGTTCAGCCGTTCCCCACGCTGACTCTGCTCTGCTCAACTCGAAGCACAGCCCTCTCTTTTTTATGGCTAACATTGCCCCATTGGAGCTTGCGCCTTCTGCTAACAATCCGCAGCTGACCCCGAGCCCCCGCGCTCCTGCCAGTCCTGATAATAAGCCTGTTACAGCTGAGAGACCTGACTCCTAATTTGTTCCCCTACCTGCCGTTTCTTCAGTCTTTGCTCAAAATTTCAATTACCTGGTGAAAACAATATTTTTGAGGCTTTGCAGACTGGTTTAGTTTTTCCTAGTGAACTCCTCAACCTAATATGTGTATCTGTGGCTTACAGCAACAGAAAATAATTCAAATTATTTCTCAGGCACTTGTGTTGTTCTGTCTTCTACAGTGGGCTAGTCCCAAACTGTAATATTTGAGGAGGCCATTGAACTGTGTGTTAAGATTACGGAGACAGGAGAAGAGAGTGTCTCCAAGAGAAGGCTGGATCCTAAAGCTGAGCATTTGGGATTCCCTCAAGAGGACACACGGCCTCAAGACTCCCAGCGCGCATCTTGCTGGGTTTTCTGGTCTACTTTTTATTCTCCCTCTTTCCATAACATAAGAGGGACAGCTTCAAACACTGGAGGAAGCCCCCCCCCCTTTTCCCATACAGAAAAAAACCCATGTCTAGAGAGGCAAAATGAAGTTGTCAAGGTAACACTATAAAAAGAGATAGATGATCTGAAGCAAAAGCAGCATTTGTTTGAGATTTTTTTTTTCTTTGCTCCTAACATTTTCTTCCAAAAATCACACCTCATTAGCAACTTCTTTAAAGAACTGGTTTGGCAGATTTGAAAAGCATTGTGCATTCCTAAGGGAATGTGGTAAACAATTAGATTCCATGGAGTCTGGGGTTTAGCATCAAATTGCAAAGAACACTCTCAGAAGGATCCTGGTTTTGCCTTGGGAACCTGTGTGTGTGTGGGTGGGGGGTGTAAATGTATATTTAGAGTCAGGATTTAATTAAAGCGTCACAGAACTTTTGAGTTAGGAGGAATCCCAGTGACCCTCCAATCCCAGTTGTTTCTAATCTTCCTCTTCCACGGGGAGAAGCAGATCAAGAGAGACAGATGACTTCCAAAATTTCAAGCCCAGTCAATAGTACAGCCCAGGCTGGAAAGAGGTATCTGTACTCCTTTTCTACTTTCATCTTCTAACTCACATACTTCGAGAAAGTGATATCATTCAGCCTTCACAAGAACAGATGTTTAACCAACATGGTCTGACTCTGACCTTAGCTTGGTCTCTTACTGGCTCTCACCATGGCCAAGACAGCTTGCTTGATATCTCTAGCCCTCAGTGTCCTTACCATCTCTAGTCCTCAGTGTCCTTAACCAGGTCATGAAAATGATAAACAATCTGCCAGGTGGTCAGGTAAAAAAATCTGAGGATTCATGTACAGTATTTACCGCAGTGCCTATAAATACATTGCAGGTTAATTTTTTTTGCTTTTTTTTTAAATTACTAGAACCAAAGAAAAAAGAAGATCCTTTTGTTTATTTAAAGATAAAACCTCATGCCACCTAGTACAGGTTCTCAAGTAACTGGTTTGATGGGCTAGTTTTCATGTAGTCACCTTTACACAATCAGGGCTTACCACTTGAAACACAGGAGCCTCTCCTAAAGCTTTCAAGGGGCATTAAACCAGCCACACAGCTGGTTTATTCCCTCAAGATGAACTCACAGGAAAGGAGAACGGCAAGATCAAACCAGCAGTTACTTGAGCCTGAACAAAGTGCCACTCGCAGAGGACTGGACTTGCCCTGGGTACCAAGAGAGCTTAAAATTACCATCCTAAAAATACAAGCCCATTAACAATTTCAATACCCATGTTCAGAGACTGCAACGACCTAAATTAAAAACAGCAGCAGCAAATTACAACCCCACAATTTAAAGAAAGAACTTTTCATACAAAGCAGTTGCTCCCGACGCTGAAGAATCAGATTTCTGTCTGTGGAGTCTGGGTTTCCTCAGACTTTGTTGTAGAATCCCTGGGTATCAAGCCATGAATGAGCTACACACTGTGTTAACTGCAGTTGGTGTACATGTGTCTTGCAGGGGGAAAAAAGAGTTGGAAAGTTCTCAATTCTGAATGATTTACAAATATTTTGGAAAGCACACGTAAACACGCAGAAAGCTATATTCAGGTTTATATATAGGAGGAACAATGACAATGTGCTGTAAAGGACTTAGCCAGGAGACAGGCATCGTGGTGAAGTGTGACGGGGTGATTGCCCATATTCTACATTGGTACGCCAGTTCCAGACCCATACCCATCCTGCTTATGCATTCTGGTAGGCAGTGGGTGATGGACATGTGATTGGGTTCTTGATACACACACGTGGGTGAACTGAGGTGGATTTCAGTTTCCAAGTCATGGCTATTACAGCCTTTGGAGAGTGAAATAATGAATTGAAGATTCTCTCTCTTTCCTTTCTCCCTATCAGGCACCTGAAAATAAATCATAAATATTTAAAAAGAAAAGACTGTCCAATGTCTGCCCCAAACACTTGCTGCATGGCTCATTTCCATGTACCTGGAAACAAAGGTCTCTCAGGTTGAGGTCTACTTTACTACTACTATTTGGAAAATCCTGAAAAAGACAAACCAGCTCTAGAGGAAAGAATTTCTTATTAGAAATAAGAAAAATCATCAAAACATGAAAATAAAGGTACAATATGATCATCTTTTTTTAAAAAAAATAACATTTGTGAAAACACTTTAAGAGCCTCCCAAGAAACATTTAAGGATAATGGATCAGGTTGTACTCATTATTTCCTATTGTATAAAGATCCCAGGCTTAGTACAAATATATTTTAGCTTAGACCCTCTTTGAGAGGCATATAAATAATCCCAAATAATATAATAACCCTAAGCAATACATGCTTGACTGCCTAATAGGACATGACTGGTTTGGTATCAAAGTGAGCCATCTCCTGCACACCTTTAACACACCTGTACATCAGAGTGCCTCAAGAGTTTATGTGAATAGTCTTACCCTCATTATCAACTCCTGTTTTAATTAATGTGCCAAATAAAACCTCTGATGTATTTTCATCTTATATTTGTATAACTTGCATTTTTAACTTCACAAGAATGAGCACTTGCATTTTTAAATATTCTTTGCATGAATGTTATGAGTATCATGTAATGTAGAATGTAGTAACTTGTATGATGCAGAGTGAAGCCTTAATTCCTGGAGACAGTGGGAGTACCCAACACTTGAGTGCTTGTTTTTGATTTTACATAGGACTCTGGAGATCTCCAATCAGTTTCCTTTCTATGATTACCATTTGATTTTTGAGTCTGTTATGAAAAGCCCACACCGAAATGTCTTCCTTTAATGCTCTAAAATTATAACTCAATGATGTCTCTCTAAAACATACAAATTCCATGCCTATTAGTCACCTTGGCTAGTAACAAATTCTGAATTTTGGGACGACACGAGCCAGAAACCTTCATTCTTTACTGGAATATAAGCTCCACTAAGGCACATACTTTTATATGCATCATGCTACCATGTTGTACAGTCTAGGACTTGGCTTCAGCAGGATTTCACATTCAACACCTAAATAAATAATTGCTTTGACTTACTTGATAAATAAGAATTCTTAAATCATTTCATCAAAGAAATGCATTTATTATAGTTTAAATATGTTGGGTATTACAGGATCATTTCTCGGCATTATGATTTATATTCCTAGCTTAGATTGCCTTGTTTTACTCTCTTTTCAGCATGATGGCGAGGGGTTGAAGAAGCTCTTTACATGTGTTGGGCCTTCTGCAGGAAAAGGAATGATCTCTTACTCAGGAAATGTGTATTTCTGTTAATGCCATCTATAATAAGTGTTGCAGGCCATATGCCTTCAGTCACACCAAGTAACAGCAGCTTGGAATGCTATAACAGGTGCTACTGTCATGCCACATCTCCCATATCATTTGGGTCTGTGATTCTCAACTGAACTCTCTGTCAAGCATTAAACCCAGCCCAGAGAGTTTTATTCTCAAATGAAATGGAAGTCAGACAGTGAACTTTCTTTTTCTCTTGGAAAACCCAACAATCCAACTAAATGTAAATGAAACACAAGTATTAGCTTACAGTCTCTTTTAAAACATAAACTGAATTGTGCCTCCTCAAAAAACTAAAATCCTAGGGCATACCCTAATTTGAAAGGGAAAGACAGTCATTTCTATCATGACTTCAAAGACCTCCTTTCAGATGGCCCCTTGCCTGCCTTTCTTGACTCCACAGCCACCACTCTGTTATTTTTTTTCATTTTCCAGATCTATGGTTTGTATTCTACCTGAGGAATCTGGAAAGTGCTGCTCTCACCATCTAGAAAGATTCTACACATAGGGTGTCATGGAGGATTTTCAAATGAGGCATAGGAACTGACACACTGGCTGATTAACATGACTAGTGTAAAATATATTGAAAACATACATTTAAAAAATAAACAGTATGAAGCACATGGCAGTACAGCTAAATAGATGGTTCTACACATTCCTTTCTTTTCATGGCAAAGTAATGATCAGTTTTCTTCAGTTCTTTCTGGACCATAATTTCTCATTGTATCCTAGCTTTTGGAAAATAAAACTCTTAAAATATCTTATTTTTTTATTTGGAAATAAAATTCATTGGTCAATAAAAATGGACCAGACTTAATCATAACCACTTCAGGATTGGCAGAAATGAGTAAGACTTGTGTTTGGAAAGCACATAGCCCCATTTGTCTTTATTTTTTACAGTCCCATCAGTGCTCAATGGTAAAAAAAAAACATAGCTGTTCTGTGCAGGACTTCCAAG